AAAAAAATTAATTTTTAATAAAAAATAATAAAAATTTTAGAAAACATAATTTTCATTGTGTTTCTGTACCCAAATCAATGCTAGTTGATGGTTGATTTGGTGGTAAAGATGAAAATTATTATGGATGTTTATTTTTTTTGTAAGAATAATTTATTTTAATTTTATAAATTTGAATAATCCTTAAAGAAGCTAATGTTTTCATGTACAAAAAAAAAATCACAATTCAAAATGTTTAGCCATTGCATTTAAAGGGTTTATTTGATAGCATGGTTGGTTGTGGTTGTTTTTTAAAATGTTTTTTAATTAAAAAATATTTTAAAATAATATTTTTTTATTTTAAAAAAAATTATTTTTGATATCAATTCATCAAAATAATAAAAAAATATTACAAAAATATTAATTTCAAATAAAAAATAAAAAATTTAAATTTTTTTAAAAATGCTTTTAAAATATATAAACAAACAAATCTTGTGAATAAACTAAAGTGTAAAGTGTAAAGTATTCACTACTAAAATTATACGAGTTATGGTAATTCTCCCTTCTAATTATAAGGGCAAATTGGTAAGAAAATTAAAAGGCAAACATATAATATCTTAGTAGTTTTCTTTATGAAAATTAAAGCTAGTAAATGAAATTAAAATATAGAATATAAATTAAAATTAATTATATAAACAAAAGCTTTTATAATTTGATTATTTTTTTATTTTGCCTTCTTATTTAAAAAATTAAAATTCATATTTTTATTCAATAAATTTTTTTAATTTATTGAAATGACTAAATTATCCTCCTATATAATATATAAAAAAATCATAAATAACACATCCCGCACTCTCTTCTTCCTCATGTCATGAGTTCTCTCCTTCCTTCTCTTCCTACATATATATATCTTGTTTCAACTCTAAATGAATTCAATTGAAGCTTATAAAGAACCTCTAAATTGAAGAAATTAACTTTACTAGACTGTAATTTTCATCATACCTTTGCTAGATCAATTGCCTCTAGAGCGAGATGATGTTGAAGACACTCGTGGCAATCAATTACCTCGTTCCAGACAGAGGCGGCGCCTCTTCTACATGCGGTGCAACCCTGTTCTATACCCGTTGAGTGTGGTTAGGTTTTTTTAATGATCTTTCAAATTTGTAATGGGTGTTTTTATCTTGTTGGTTTAATAGAAAATTATCAATTATCTAAGTGAAGAGAGGTAGGGTTTTTTTTTTGAAATATATTAAAATAATATATATAATTTTTTAAAATTTGTTCATATTAGTATATTAAAATAATCCATATATATATATACATACATGTATTTATTTAAATTTAAAAATAAAGAAGTCCAAAACTTTTCATTGCGTGCATGATATAGAATTTTTTTAAGAGATGTGTTTGATTTTGAGACATCATAAATAATTGTTACCATCGTTATTGTTCTATTATATTTCATGAAAGTTTGTTATTAGTAAATGGATGCCATTCACTGGAGGCATAATTTTTTTTTCTTTCAAATATATAATTTGAAAAAATAATCTCCGAAAATTTAATTTTTTTATATATACAAAAAATGTTGATATTAATATATTAAAAAAATTTAAAATAATTAATTTAAAATAAAAACATATTTTTTTAAAATATTTTTAAAACATTCTATTTGTTATGAGAAAACATTTCCTCACACTTGAAGATGCAGTCCCATGGTATTTTACACAATTTTAGTTTTTATTTTAGTTTTTTTTTTAAATATTTTTGATTTGTTAAATATTAAATTTATATTTTTAATAATTTTTCAAGATTTTAATATGTTAATAAAAAAATATTTTAATATCATTTAAAATAAAAAAATCATTTTTAAACAATATTCTGCGAACATTAACGGCCCTATTCGCAGATGTAGAAACTAAACTCACTCAGTAAAGAGGATAACATATACTTGTCGATGTCCCCGACAGAATCCTCACGTGCCTTCTACTTGACGTGGCACATATCAATTGGTTTTCCTTACGTCCTCCTCCCTTAGTCTCCCAATCACCACCACCACCACCACCAACACCAACACCAACACCAACACCACTGTCAAATTATTGAAATATAGAAAAGAAAGAGAATCGAAATTTTAATCTTAGAAAACAATGGTAGAGGAAAGCAGTAGTAGGATTCCTACAGATGATTCGACGGCAAGTTCGGATACATCATCATCACAATCCAGGCAAAGGTAACCCATAACTGTTGCTTCAAAAACCTTAAATTAAAAAAATTAATTAACAGAAAAAACCTAAATTCTCAACAATCGTTTTTGCTTGGTTATTGATTATGATGTGTCCAGGGTTTATTTCATTATCATAGTTGCTCTAAAGGTTTTTTTTTTCCTTTTTTTTTTGTTCTGTTTAGTCTGGGTTGCAACTGGAGTGAAGATTGGTAAAATTTATGGATTTTTAGGGGCTGTTCCAGTTATGATTTTTTTGGGAAAAGAACCAAATGGGGTTAATTGAAGAAAAAGAATAAGCTGCATTATGGTTGAAAAAAGAAAGCCTTTTTCTTTTTCGTTTTCTTTTTATAGGAATGAAGGGAAATGATGGAGTATTGTAGATTAGATCGTGGTGAAGTTGTTTGGATTTACAAGTATTCACTTAACAGAGCCATTAATGGGGTCTTTAGAAAGTTGTGTTGAGAAAGCTATTATTGTGACTGTGTTATTTCCTTGGCTGATTTTTGTTTATTGATATATGAAAAAACTCATGGTTGGTGGCTGTGATGAACTCATCTTGTAGCATATGTTGCAGGAGAAAGAGAAAGTGGGATCAGCCTGCGGAGTCACTGGTTTCAGCTGGAGTTCCAGTATCTGATGCTGTACAATTAGGCAATGTGGGTTCTCTTGTTGGGATCTCGTTACCAGGGGCTGCTTCTGTTTCTGGTGCGCTTTTAACAAATCCACAAATTGCTATTGTTCCGCCTATGTTTCTGGCGCCTTCGATGCCACAAAATACTGCTGCTGTGGTCCCAAAACTAAATCAAGTGAGATACTTTATTGTTATCTTGTTTATGACACTGTTTATGAGGGTTATAACCAATAAGTAATGCTGTTATTGAATTTGTTAGTAAATGTTGTTTAGTTAACTTTTTTATATTATCTCATTAAAAATTTTAATTAATTTTGTTGTGCTTCTTTTTATTTAAGTATATGGTCACACATTCTCAATTTATGTATGTGCTTGTGTGTGTGTTTTCTCTTTTAAAATACTTTTCTTGTGTTCAGCCTAAGGTTCAGGATGAGTTAATAATAGCACGAGAGATAGTTATAAATGATGCAGAGTCCTCTGTTCGCTACAAGCTTACAAAGCGGCAGACACAGGAAGAAGTAAGTCTTTCTTACTTGGGTGAAAGATGTTGATTTTTTTTTTTCATTAATGGTCAAGATTATAATTTCTCTGTGCCATCAAGAATTGATAAGAGTTTTCCCTTACTTTTCAGATTCAGAAATTCACTGGTGCTGTGGTGATAACTAGGTTCGTAGATCCTTGTAGTTGTTTGAGGGATTTGTAGAAGGCCTTTCTTTCTGTTTTTTTTATGAGCATGCTTAACTTCCTTTATAGGGGCAAGTATCGTCCACCAAATGCACCACCAGATGGTGAAAAGCCATTATATCTTCACATATCTGCGGCTGCTCATGTAAGTATAATATAGTATTCATAGGCATACACAGTCAGTAATTTGTTAGTTATCAGCTGGAGCTTTAGTTATGCTGGGTGATTACTTTTTTCTTGACCCTAGACTTCATGAATTGTCATATAGATCAGTGCCAAATTTACTACAGATAACAATTGAGATTATATTTCATCATGTTTATGGAAGATACGTTGCAGCTATTCTGGTTCAGTTTTATACTTGACCTCTTCTTCTGCTAGTGCTATGAGCTTAAACATTTATTCGTTCTGACTATATTTTTCTTTATAAGATGAATGTAAAAGTGGATCACTATTTATTTTCAGAAATCCAAGGCTGGTTTTACATATCTAGCCCTGTGGCAAGTGGATAACTTAAATTTTATAGGCTAAAGTTTTGAAAAGATTGTATTAGGATCTCTGAAGGACAGGACACCTTCGAATGCTCTTTGTATCACAATTCCCATAATATATAATTTCTTAGTCTATGAAAATATTACTTAAACTGGATTTTGATTTCATGGAATAAAAGATGGATTATCTGTGCAGTTAAAAGATACTGCAGAACGGATTTTGGCAGTTGATCGGGCAGCAGCCATGGTTGATGAAATGCTGAAACAGGGTCAGAGCTCACAGCCTGCTTCTTCCATTACACAAATGCCTGCAGTTAATGGAGTAAAGGTATGGATTACTAGTACTGCTAGTTTATTAAGCTGTGAGCTTCACATAATTGTCATGGCATAGAAATGTCTTAACCAAATAAGTTGTCTGATCAGGCGCTAAGTGCGTGTGTGTTTTTGGGCTTTGACACAGACCCAACATTGAATATTGCTGCGCGAATTCGTGGACCAAATGTGAGTTTTTCTATTATTTGCTTGCCTTGTCATATGATGACTTGGATTTTGCAGGGTTACTTGTATGCTCTTTTCATATTCAGACTTTGATGCCTTTAGTATCAATTGCATTGTATCATTTGATGGGTTAATTCTTTGTACATATTTCATCTAGATTATAGTTTAGTACTAAATTGAGGTAAACTGGGTATACACGGTACTAAAATCTGTCTTGCCTTTCTCTCTTCTGGTTTAAGCCATGCCTTATTGTTTGACTCATTATTTTCATTTTTATTGTAAAAAATGAACATGAGGGATTCTAATGTTTGAAGCTTCTCTCACATCTCCATACCATTGGGAGAGCTTGTTTTGTGTTGGTGGTGTTTTGGTTTTGTACATGCAGGACCAGTACATAAGTCATATTATGAATGAAACAGGGGTTACAGTCATACTAAGAGGGCGTGGTTCTGGAAACTGTGAAAGCCAAAGTACTGGAGGTACTTTTTAAGTGCATGTATGATGTAATATAACCTTTGTGCAAGTAATTGTGTTATTAATTTGCATGTTGTGGCTTTCTCTTTCACTTTGTTACAGAGTCGCAGCAACCACTTCATTTATTTTTATCTGCTAGTAATCCAAAATGTCTTGAAGATGCAAAACGTTTATCTGAAAACCTTCTGGATACAATCAGTTTAGAGTGTGGTGCTTCCAGGTAATGAAGCTTGTATATCTATTGTATGTCTACACTGCTTCCCATGGGCTTCTATGTATTCTGCTTCTTCAAAATGAGACGTGTGGAATTTAATTCTGCTGCTTCATTTTGGAAGAATTATACACTCTTCTGGTTTGCAAAATTATACTCTTCAACTAGTTTGGGATTAAGGCTTTGTTATTGTTTTTGATACATTGCTCTGTTCAGCAAAATTTGTTTAGCTTTCATCAGATTGGAATTACATGTAGTCTGTAGATTGTAAAATGAAAAATTGCTGTCTCTCACCTCTATGTATTTTATTCATTTTCTGCCTTAGATCTCATCACTCTTTGCTCTTGTAATGATATTCAGTTTTTATTAACAGATGTGCTCATAAATTCTTCAGTCGACCTTTTATCCTGGTCTTATTATTTCATTTGAGGGCCAACTTCTTTCATCTTTCCAACTGTTGCAGGGCTTCGTCATGTAAAGTTTATAATGCTGTGCCACCACCGCAGACATTAACTGGAGCTCATACTGCTGGGATTGAGCACAAACTAAATACAAGTGCAGTCACTGGATTGATGCTACCAACAATGAGCCCTACTCCACTTATTCCAGCTTCTTTGGTTTCAGTTTCCGGGGTTGCTGCTGTCTGTTCCCAAGGGACTATATCACAGTCTGGAGCAATGTTGAGCTGTGGGCAACCCCAGCCAAGTGTGGCCAGCTATTCCCAGCCTTTTGTAATGGGAGGAACGAGCTATAGTGGATATGGTGGTATATATCCTCAAGCCACACCTTTGCAACAAGTTGCCCAAGTCCTTAGGCAGCCACCTTCTCCTGTCCCTTCCACAGTTTCTCCTGCAACGTCTATAGCAAATGCAGCACCAAATTCAGGAATGAACTCTATTGCAGAAAAGGAGAAACGACCTATGCAGAAGCGGAAGTTTCAGGAAATACCAGTTGGTTCAAAGGGTCCTGCAAAACTTCATCAGGTATCTATGCAATTTTTTCTTTAATCATGCTTGTCTTAATAATAATAATGATAATGTAATAAATTTTAAAAGGATAATGTGCCAGAAGGTGTTATATATATATATATATTTGTGCTTGTGTGTGTGTTATCAATTTTTTTCTGGAATATGACGAGCTTTATAAACTACTGCCTTGGAATGTAAATCTTGGAACGAATATTGTTTGCTCTGTGTTATATAAGCTTTTGTATGAGCACATGATAGTGAAGGGGATTTACCTGCACTATTTGTCTTATGTCTTCCTGGTGTTAAAATCCTTCAGAGTGGGACTACCATGTACTTTCTTTGAAAATTTAAGCATAAATAGTTATTAATTCCTTAAGGAAGCAGCAGGGGGGAATTGCGGCCTGCCAGTTCTGGTGTCAGTTGTATTGCATGGTGCTAGGGGTTTTATTTTTGGAAAGTTTTTGAGCATTTTGTCTCGTAGAAAACAAGTGGCAATTTGGTAACAAGATTTGAATATTCGATTGTTTCAAAAAGTAGTTTGTAATTTATTAATCTTAGCCCAACAGGTTCTTGGTATCTTGACTATAAGAGTATCGTTACTTTTTTTATTCTGTAGTGTTGGATGGTAGTTATTTATGATCATATAAGAGGAAAATTTTTTGGCTGGAGTTCAGTGGACTTAATGGTTAATTTAAATTCATGAATTGTCATATCTGCATATCTTATTTTTACTGGCCAGTCATTTGTCACATGGTTGAGAGATTGTCCTTTTATGAGGCCAGAAACTTTGAAGACAGTAGAATTTTTCTGTTTTTATTGACTTAGTATTTTGAAACCTGAATGTGAAAATGTATCAAGTTTTTGTTTGCAAGTTTCATGTCTTCTATATTGCTTTATTAGAAAGCATAATTTGCTGGATAATCTTTATTTGTGAGAACTTGCACTGCTCATTGTACCATTGAAGTGCCCTGGCCTCAAAGCAGCAAGAATTAAATTAACATGGGGAAAAAATAGAATTTGTAATTTTAGTGCTGATTACATACTGTCTGTTTCATAAAGCTAAGTACATTTTGCTTGTGTAGAGAGAAATAGGAAGTTGCAGTTTCTAGTTTCATGTGCACATGCTGCCAAGTCAGTCCAAAATGTTGGACCTTTTAACATTTGTGAAGGAGCACGTGAGACACTTACTAGTTGCTTGGTTCTGTCGTAACTGAGTAGCCCCTCATTTGTTACTAAGTTTGGCTTGCTGGATGTTGGGGCAAGGTTAAAGAATTCCCTCTATCACGGGGGTTATTTGTTTGAGTTATTATGTTCATAATCAACTCGCAGTTTTCTTGGTTTGCAATCTGATGATTTTTTTTAATCATTATCATTATTTAATGTAAGGCATGAAAAAAATTGACGATTGATTGGTTGTCAGTGGACTGATGTATGTGTCCTTGTTGGGTAACTTTTTTGTCCTAGTAAAGCATGAACTTCAGTATGGTTAAACACTTTATTGTTTTTAATTTTTTTCTTATGTTTCAATTCTGTACAATATTTTTGTATTTTAAGCTGACTTTACTGCTTGATATTCCAGGTATTTTCTCTGACCTTCTAAGAAGCTAACAGGCTGATACCAGACCTCTCTGTTAGGGCCATTGGTTTGTATGTTTCACAGGGGTTTCCAGTTTTGGAGGCACTCAGAAATGGACCAATTCAGAGCAATTATCAGAGTGATAAATTTTGTGATTGGTTACATGCTATACTTAGTCTTCTATAGTATGTCTCTTTTAGAACACTTGTTATATCTGATGCCTGGTATCGTACAGGGTGCGCCTCATGCATGCCTGCTGATTTTTCTTGGAGAAGACTTTCTAAAATCCAGCTTTATAAAATTGTCACCAGGATTCTGTGGTGGCAGAAAACTGTTCTTTCGAAGATAATTTACCAATTCAAGTTCCAAGGCTTGCCTTATCATCAAATAGAAATTGCATTAAATGCAGAAATGAATAAGTAAAAAAATGAGAAAGTAGGGGAAAAGTGCAGCCAATTCCCTATTCTTGTGTCATTCTCAAAATTGACCAGGTGTCAAATCTCTGTACCAGGAGAAACATTGGCTTTGGTGTTGGCTGGAATTACTTAAACAAGTACTATCAACCTCACTGAACACCCATATGTGTGTTTCATGCAATAGGAAATCATAGCCTCTGTAACACCATGCCTTCAGATATTTGCCCCATTCTCATTCTACACTTACCTCTATGGTGCATAAGGTTGACTTTTGCATTGTATATAATTGTGTTTTGAGATTCTACATGTTTTATCTCCATGTAATTGATATTGAGAAATTTGGCTTGCTTATTTCTTTTCTAACTCATTACAGGGATCAGAAGTGTCCAGGTCTGGTAAATCGCTGCAGGCAGATTTGGGTGTTAGAAATATCTCAACTATGCCAGCTCCAAAAAAGTTGGTCCACCCATCATCATCCAATGGAATGCCACCACCTCCTCCACGAGCCATGCCTCCTCCCCCACCTCCACCAAAGTTCACTTCATCAACTCCAGCTGCAAGACTGCAAGACAAGACCAATTTTTCGAATAAAACCATGTCTGATGCTGTTCCTGGTATGTTTAGAGTTTGTCAGCTGTCTTTTTTTTTAATTTTTTTCAGCCTGCATGTACGAAGGAACAAAAACTAACTTTAGATTCAGCCTATAAATAATCATTCATGTGTTCTTCATCAACCTAAATCAAAATATTAGTGGGAAAAAACTAGAAAGTTGAACTGTATGTTGCCTACTTTGGAGTTGAGATGATTTCTTACCTGGTTTCATTCACAGATCTGCCACTTCTATAACTTAACCTGTTTAGTTGTTTCAGATACTTTAGTCAAACTGATGGAATATGGCAAAGACGATGACGATCCTGAGGATGCCGGTGAAGAATCCCCAAATGGTAAATCCAGTGTCGGGGCAGTTCGAAAACCATTTTGGGCTTTATGACAGTACTTGTGCTGTGGATTATTGCCAATGAGCAGTGATCATTTCCAACATGTGCCAACTATGTGTTTGGAGATTCAAAACGTTGTATTGATTTAGTTAGTTGACATAAGTAACGGTAGGGATATAAAATGTTTTGGGGTGCGGGAATTGATTTTTGGCACGGTATTGGGAAGTTGTGAATCTCTTTGGCGTGGTTCTTTGCGGTTGGTGCTTTAGGGCAAGCAGGGATTTACGTCGTCATATTTTGGGTGTAGATGTACAGTAATAGCTTCTTGTTTGCAAGTCTATATTGTTATTTCAGTTCGGCTCATCCCTTTGTTGAAACAGTTGATGGAAATTAGCAGTGCCCTACAAAAGCATGGATGAGTTTGGCATTCATCTGACTGCTAAAATTTAACAAACAATAAGAAAAAAAAGAAAGCAAGAAGGATGTTTTTGCTTTGTGGCTTATTATGCCAAACTCAGTTGCCTTTTCATTTTGTTTACTCTTTGACGATAATTAAATTCATTGATATGTACCCACAACAGAGGAGCCGCTGCATTTAGGAGGTGAGAGGCGTGTGCAGCCCTCTCCGACCTCAAAAGGCCACTTGTTTTTATGTCGTCAGAATTGCTGAGGAATGGGAGACGGTGCATTTAGATGGAGGTGTCTCCTCCAAACAATTTTTCTTTTCCCTCTCTTCTACACTTCTTCCTCTCTGCTCACGCGATTTCTCTGCCTGGTGCCCTCTTTGTTTCAAAGAAAGTTAATTTTATTTCAAGCCCAATTTCAGTTCCTCTATTTCCGATCATTTGTTAAGCAAAAGATCGAAACTAATTTTTGAAAAATTGAGCGCCAACGCAACTTCAAAAAAAAAAAAAAAATCAGTTTCTTGGGAAGATGGCATTCACAAATGCAAGAAATATGGCCCTTGCAGAGTCATCTAACATCCAGAGGAACTCACGGCAGTCCATTCTAACTCAAGAACTATCCTCAGTTGAGTATAAAGAATCTATATCTGGAAGAAGATCTACTAGTACCATGTACATGTCTAGAATAGGGGACAACTTTTCTGTTCATGGGGACCACCAGATCTGGCTTTGCCAAAATTCAATAGCTGCAACATTGAAGCCTCAGCAAAACAGACAAAACTAACAGTTCCAAGCTCCTCAGAAATTTGTTCTGTGAGCCTTTTCTCACTAGCAAGGCACGCGACCAAATGTTATCTGTGTCTGGATCCATCTCTTGATCTTGGGTTTTAAGCACTGGAATTCCGATTTCAGCATATCTTCAATGCTCCGTTTCTCCATTTCAAGAATAGACAGACACTCATACAAGGCATCCCTCTTAACGCAAATATATGTCCGCGAACATTCAGAACCATGACCAGAAATGAAAATCAAATTTGCAATCTGTTTGAGCTGAGAAACTGTAAATGGTTGAACCAAATCAATGATGAATTCCTCTTGAATTTCTGGCAACGCCATATCTACACAGCGAATCCTATGACTCATCGCCGAGAGAGATTTCTGAGCCTGCATTGATGGAAATTGAAGAAACAAATATGTTCCGGGTCAAAGCATTGCCTATTCTCAACTAACATGTGCTTGAACAATTCCTCAAGCCTTTCCATTACCATTTGAAGAACATTGTGAGCTCTCCTTAACAGCTTCTTCTCCTCCGCCTATATTTAAGCACAAATTGTCCATCCTTTCAGTCAACTTTCAGGCTTCATCAGCAGCATTTAGCTTCATCAAGACGCGAGTCCTGGATGGTAGTTGCTCTGCCTCCCAACTCATAACCTTCTCCTGAATAACGTTTATCCATCCTTCAATCTCCCTGATTGCGCCATCTTCATTTTCACCAATTGTGGTTATGAAATCGAGAAATGGTGAAACTAAGGCTGCCTTTGTGATATACATATAAAAAAAATTACCATATTTTTCATGTACACGACTTCATAAAATGAGAATAAATGCCTCCATAAAATTCGGGGCTGTTACCCGATAGCTTTTCCACTTCATAATTCCAAACACAACCAATTCTTTGTTGCATCCCTTCACGGCTACCTTCTCCCCCGCAACAAACAAACCCCGAGAGTGACAGAGAGCCAAGTTAGCAAGTTGACACTCAAGATAATGAACACACAAAAAAATAATAATTTGTGGTAGTGCTATAGCCTTTGACGGTGTCATAAGAAGAAGTTACATTTGATGTGAAAACCAATTGCCACCGTGAGAAACAGGGAAGGAAAAAACAGTAGTTGTAATTTTATTTTTTTAATATATTGAAATAATAATTTTTTATTTTTAATATATAAAAATAACATGAAAAAAAATTGAAGTAATTTTTTTTTTAAAAAAAAAACATAAAAACAAACCAATTTATATGAAGATCGGTTGTTCGGCTTTCGGTGATTTCGTTGCTTGCAGCTTGATTTTTCTTGTAATATTTCTTCTTGTCCTTTCCATAATCCTACGCTTGGCTGGTAGAGATCCTTTAGCAATACAATCTTCCCTCTTAAGACTCCATTGCTCTTGAACTTGCAAGACATTTAATAGTTCTGCCAGGTTAATCTTGGATAAATCCTTTGTGTTTTGTAAAGTAGATATAAATGCTTCAAATCTTCCTGGCACATTTACAAAGATTTTTTCTACAATTCTAGAATTAATAAATTTTGTTGCCAAGTAACCTTATCTTGTTAACAATGCCAAGCAATTTGTCTAAGTACTCTTTGATTGTCTCAAACTCTTTAATCTTTTGCAGCTCAAATTCTCGTATTAAATTTAGCACCTGCATGCCTCATATCCTTTCATCTTCTGCATGTTCTTCCTTCATATAATCCAAACTTCTTTTGTTGTTTAGAGAGACATGATTCTCGTGAAAATGGTTGTGAAACAACATCAAACAGACTTGCTATCGCCTTTGACTTCCTGGTTTTTCTTTCCGTGTGACTTCTGCTCTGAGCCATGGTTGGATTATTTGGCAGGGAAGGAACTTCATAATCCTCTTTCATAGCTTTCCATAGATCTAAAGCTTCGTGGTATGTCTCCATTTTCACTATCCAAAACCAGTAGTTTTCTACATTGAAAACAGGAGGAGAAATTTGAGAGAAACTGGCTTCAACTTTCATTTCATGGATCCCATAGGAAGATAACTTCGATACCATATGAAGGTTTAAAGAAGAAGAGACGGAAGAAATTAAAACTGCAGAGGAGAGAATTCAAAAATGCAGCAGACAAGGGAAAATTGATTCTCTTTATTTGATTAACATCTTCAGAATTAAATACCTGAAAAAACAAACTTAAATGCAAATTAATAGATGAAATTCACGCTATGATCTGCAATATGTTGTTAACATACTAACAACTCCTAAAGACTAGCAAATTTATTTGCTGAAACAGATATCTGAAACTAATATAATAAAAAGACGACCTATAGCAGTACTGAAGCAATTTTTAACAATATCATCTCCTGTGGGGGTTATGCCATGATCTTAAGTTGGGATCCCTCGAAGAGTTGCAACAAGCGATTCTGTAAATAATCAGCACTGTACTTCATGTGCTCGTCGCTTACGTGATCAGTATGTCGTTCAACAAATTTCTGATATGCACGGATCACTTTGAGGGAAGTCGAATTTCGTAAATCTTCACGAAGCTGGTCATCAGGGATAGAACATGCTGTCTGAGCCCCGCAGACCTCTTCAAAAGCAAGATAAAAGCTCCGAAGCTTTTCCTCCACATGGGCTTTCGAGACAGCATACGAACTGGGATTCCCGTCATCCTTCAATAAAGAGAGGATTGGACTCCAAGTAACTCTCGTATAGTTCCTCACATGCTGTTGGAGTTCCCAGTCGTGCTCTTGAATCCACTCCTCTCCTAGTATAAACCGAAGTTCTGAACACATAACCTTTTGAGCCATGTAATGTATATTGTTCATCAAGAACATGTGCCCCAAAGAAGCATCTTTAAATAACTTGGCCTTGTTGTAGAGCTTGTATTCTAGAATACAAGAAAATGCTCGAAAGTGGAGAGCCATTGGGGATAGCTTGCATGTACCTCCACTTATGTGCTCTTCTTTAGTAGATGGACTCATCGAGGAGCCATTGTAGAATTGAATCATTCGACATAAAGTGCTGAGCAATCGGGGAAAAATCACATGTGCCTCCACTTATGTTCTCTTCTTCCACACCTGAACTCATGCAAGAGGGTGCTGACATGGGATGTTCTACACAATGGTCATTGAGGAGAAAATCAAGTGTCTCGTGGTAGCCTGTGAGAGCACTGATGTAATTCATGACATTTTTTGTGAGTGGGTGAATTCCTTCGGCTGCAGAAGGCTCTCTCATTGTGTATGTCATAATGGAATCCTCAAATTCATCAAGTGTTTTCCTTGCAGAATCAGCCAATCCCCTTAGAACCATATCACCGTTCACTATTACTTGAGAAATAGCTTCGTCAGAGTACAAAGAATCTAAATATGGGAGAAGACCTGCCAGGACCTCATACATGTCAAGTAAATGGAACAAGTTTCCTGGATTTTTGGGACCAGTAGATATGGCTTTGCCAAAATACGTCAATAGCTGAAGCACTACAGGCTCAGCAAATGAAACCAAATTAACAGTTCCAAGTTCCCCGAAAATCTGTTCAGAGAGCCATTTATCACTAGCAAGATAGACACGCATAAACATCTTCATAGTCTGAATCCTTCTCTTGATCTTCGATTTTAAGCTTACCTGCTCCAGTTTGAGCACATCTTCAGTTCTCAGTTTCTCCCTTTCAAGAATGCGGAGACATTCATCTAAAGCGCTCCTTTGAATGCTAATATATGCCAGAGAACATTCATCAGCATAACCAGAAATGGACATCACATTCGCAATACGTCTGAGCTCAGGGATAACATCGTATTGAACCAAATTAATGGTGAATTCCTCTGAATTTCTGTTAATGATTTTTCTTAGCTTCGAATCCCCAACTAGTTTATCCCCAAGAGAGATTTCTGAGACTTCATTGACGGCAATGGAAGCAGCAGGCACATGTTTTGGCTCAAAGGGTTGTCTATTTTTAGTAAGCATGTGCATGAACTCCTCCTGAAGCCTTCCCATTGAGATTTGAAGAAGATTTCGAGCCCTCTGAAGCATCTCCTTTTTTCTATCTTCAGTCACACACAAGATTTCCAGTTTTTTAGTCACCTGTCGGGCTTCGTCAGCGGCATTTAGATACTCAGTAGCTTCATCAAGACCCGAGTCCCAGATCATAGGCCAATATCTTTCCCAACACATAATCTTCCCCTGAATAACATTTAGCCTTTCTTCAATCTTGTTTATTTCATCAACCTCTTTTTCGCTGATTGCTATTGCAGTGGTTAATTGGGTATGAAGGTCTCCTAGAATCTCCTTCTCATCATCTGTAAGATTCTTTCTTGACCTTAATGCCATCATAATCTGTTTCGCCGCATCAATGATCACCATGTCACTGCCTCTCGTATATCTGAACTTCAAGATCACCAGCAATTACTATCTCAATGTTCAATAATAAGAATACTGGACCCAGAAGCTTCAATTACACCACTAAGATTACCTTCCCACCCAGATGAATTAGCTTCTAAACTCAGACTCACAGACTTTCATTCCGAAAACTGAGAACACTAATATTCCAAACCAAAATATAAATGCTTTGCTTGAGACATCATGAAAATACACGATGAAGGGTACTTTGAATGCTTTCGAAAAAGGCCCGCGAGTCGAGAACTGATTGAAGGAAAGAAAACGAATGTGATTGTATTATAAGCTTAAACTTCCAATATACTAGTTAGAATCACTACAATAGTAAGAACAAAGATTGAAACAAGCTAAAGACAATCAAATTAAGCAGAAATATGGAAGGCCAAGAATAAATAGTGAACAGATTTTGCAGGTCAAGAAACAAACAAACAAACAAACAAACATACATACATACATACATACAGATCCGAGTAGTATCCTAAGATACAAAGATCAAAAATTGACAAGTGTAATTCAAGCCCATCTACATCCTCATAGGGTAATTTAATATGAAATGTTCTGTTACGTATGAATTATGAAATGGTTTGGACTCGCACAAAAAGTCTCTATCCCCACAAACCCATTTATTTTGTTATTTATACTTTGGTGTCCATTAGTCTTGGCCTTTTAACCTTTCTGTATTCGGATGGATACTCCGTTTTGCCTTTAGATTTTGTGACTCGCACAGGCATAAAATATAATATAAACGCATATAATGTTTTTATCTACATGATTTCCCTAAAAACTACATTATATGACACAACATGTCATATTAAACTCTTTGTAATAGTTATTATAATGGAGTTATTGAGTTTTCTTCATGGAATTTAAATTTGTATACGAGATGTTTGTAATAGGTATGGGGATCCAAGAGTGGAAATGAGAGGAATTAAGAATTATTAAGATAGATATGAATAAAACTTGTCCTCTAGAGAAAATAATGGCTAACAGAGTCAAACCCAAGGCACTGACATGGATTCATTAATCCTGCCCTGAATAGTTCATCCTATCAGTGAGTAATGCCGAAGAGATTTTTCGATTACATATTGGGAACTAACAGAGATTGCAATTGGCTGGTTGTAGTTCTGTGGCTAAGCCAGCCTGTTCATAAATCAAAATACAAGCTTGTTGTGGTTTTATGATTAGGTTATCAAAATACAAATTTGAAGGGAGAAAAGGAGGAACAAGGTAACATGGAAATAATAGACAAGAAAGTTCCATTCTTTCTGTCATCTCCTGTGGGGGCTAACAAATCATCCTAATTTTGAGCCTTCAAAGAGATGCAATAAGCGATTTTGTAAATTGCTGTACTTAATGAGCTTACTGCTTATGTGATCGGCATGTAGTTCAACAAATTTCTTATATGCATGAATGACTTTGAGGGGAGCTGAATTGCGTAAATCTTCTCGAAGTTGAGTATCAGGGATAGAACATGTTGTTTGGGTCCTGCAAACCCCTTCAAAAGCAAGGTAAAAGCTTCGCAACCTTTTCCGGAGAAGAGCTTTCGAGACAAAATTTGACCCCTCGTCATTCAGTATGTTGTGGATTGGATTCCAAGTAATTCTCTCATAGTTCAACACAAGCTGTTGGAATTTCTTGGTGTGCTCTCGTATCCATTCCTCTCCAAGTATGAACTGAAGTTCTGAATTCTTCACCTTTTCAGCCACGTAATGCATGTTGTTCATCAAGAATATGTGCTGTAAAGAAGCATCTTTAAATGCCTTGGCCCTGTTGTAGAGCTCGTATTCTAAAATGGAAGCAACCACTCGAAAGTAGAGAGCCAGTGGGGAAATGTCGCATGTGCCTCCATTTATGCTCTCTCCCTCTGTAGCCGAACTTAGCAGGAAGCAATTGGATAGCCATTTTAGAAGTGAAGCATCCGATCCCAGTTGGAGAGAAATTGGGGAAAAGTTGGTTGTGTCTCCACTTATGCTCTCTTCTTGCATAGCTGAACTCATCGGGGAGCCAGTGTAAAGCCACTTTAGAATTGAGGCATTTGATCGAAAGGAGTGAGCGATTGGGGAAAAGTTGCATGTGCTTCCACTTATGTTCTCTTCTTCCAAATCTGAACTCTTGCAAGGGGATGCTAACATGGAATCTTCCCCATCATAGTCCTTGAGGAGAAAATTAAGGGTCTCGCTGTAGTCAGCGAGAGTACTGATGTACTTCATTACATATTTGGTGAGAGGATGAATTCCTTCAGATAGAATGTTCGCAAAAGAATCTCTCGTCATGTATGTAACAATGTAATTCTGAAACTCATGAAGTGTTCGCCTCACAGAGTCAGCCAATCCCCTTAGAACCTCATCACTGTTAACTCTAACTCGAGAAATATCCTTGTCGGAGTACAAAGAACCTACATTTGGATGAAGACTAGCCAGGACCTCGTATATGTCAAGATTATGGAACAGCTTTTCTGGATTTAGGGGATGAATAGATATGTTTTTCCCAAAATACTTCAATAGCAGCAAGATTAAATCCCCAGCCAAAGAAACCAAATTAACCGTTCTGAGTTCCCCAAAAATCTGTCCAGAGAGCCATTTCTCACTAGCAAGATAGACACGTACAAAGATCTTCATATTCTAAATCCACCTCTTTTTCTTCGATTTTATGCCGTCCAACTCTGATTTGAAGTTGTCCCACTTCGAGAGTAGCACATCTTCAATTCTCGGTTTCTCCTTTTCAAGATTGAAGAGATGCTCATTCCAGGCATCTTTTCGAAGGCTAGTATATGCCAGAGAACATTCATCATGCTCATTCCAGGCATCTTTTCGAAGGCTTAATATATGCCAAAGAACATTCATCACCAAAACCAGAAATGAACATCAAATTTGCAATTCGTCTGAGCTCAGAAATGGCATCATATTGAACCAAATCAATGATGAACTCCTCTGAATTTCTGTTAAAAATACATCTATCATCTGAGTTCTCAACCAAGTAATCCTCAGGAGAGATTTTTGAGACTGTATCGGCAGCGCTTAGGAAAACAGATGCATGGTTTTGCTCAAAGGGTTGTCTGTTTTCAACAAGCATGTGCTTGAACACCACCTCAAGCCTTTTCATTGCCAGTTGAAGAACTTTTTGAGCCCTCTGTAGCATCTTCTTTTTGCTGTCATCATTCCGACACAAAGTCTCCAGTCTTTCAGTCAGCTTTCGGACTTCACCAGCAGCATTCAGATACGCAGTAGCTTGATCAAGACTGGAGTCCCAGATAATAGGCCAATATCTTTCCCACCTCATAATCTTCTCCTGAATAACATTTAGCCTTCTTTCAATCTTGTTTTTTTCATCAGCCTTTTTCACTCCGATTGTGATTGTGGTAGATAATTGGGTATGGAGGTCTCCCAAAATCTCCCTCTCGTCATCTGTAAGATTCTTTCTTGATCTTAATGCCATCATAGTTTGCTTCGCCGCAGCAAAAAGGTTTCCTTCTCCTTCTAATTCTGGAATCGCCATGTCCGGGTCCCCCATAGATTACAAATCCAAGATCACCAACAATCACAACCTCGATAGTCAATAATCAGAATATTAAACCACAAATCCTGAATTTCAACTAAATCTCTAAGATTACCTTTCACGTTGCTTAAGCAGCCTCTAAACTCTCAGCTACAGACTTCGATTCCCAAAAATCACAACACTAAATGCTAGTTTGTTGGCTGGAAATTTAGAACATTACTGCGGTAATTTTTTGTATGGTTTGATTTTTATTAAAAAATAATTAAATTAATTATTTTTTTAAAAGATTGAAATTGAATTAAAATCAGTTCAAATTAATTGATTTTAATTCGGTTTAATTTTTTAGATAAAATTAATTCAAACTAGTTTGGCTTGATTTTAACTTATTTTTTTCTGATTTGACTTAATTTTTTCGATTTAGCTATATTTTAGCTTAGTTTTTAGGTTTGGCTCTGTTTTCTTCATATTTTTTTTATTAGAATTTAGTTTGATTTAGTTTTTTCAGTTTCATGTTTATAAAACCAAACTAAATTAAACCAGTTAATTTTTTTAAAATTTTAATTTTTTTTTTTTATGATTTGGTTTTTTCAATTATTTGTTATTTATTTTTCTCAATTTAATTAATTTTTTAATTTTTTTACTCACCGGCGTTAACTTTTGAAACCACAATATAAACTCTTTTGCTGGAGTTCTCTAGCAAGTAACCAGTGAAGGAAATCTTGAGTGCTTGCTGCAATTAAGCACCGCGATTCAAGAACTGGTTACAGGAAAGAAAATGAAAATAATTGCATAAGCTTAAGACCAGAACAATAAGAGCTTGCAGTCCACTAGAAAGAATCACTGTGATCAACCGTCTCAGTAGACAGCTCCACAGTGATCAAAAAACATTGAAGCCCAGTTCACTTGTGTGCGTGCATTTCCATAAATTTCGACAAAAGTATCTTAAAATTTTATTAATCATCACATATATTAAAAAGAAATTATTAAATATATTATCTTCTCTTTTGAGAAGTTCTACACGTCGAAATTAAAAAAGAAAACTCCACATAAAGAGAATATTTATCTCTTTATATGTATAAACATATTATTTTGTTTTATTTATTATTAATTTTCTTGAGAGGATCATTATTCAATCTTTAAGAATCAATTAACTCCCAAAAACTCAAACAAGTATATTTCTTTTTTACTTCTTTGATTGCTTGAGGTCTCTGGTTTGGGAATTTCCCTGCTCTTTGATTCGGAGTTTCTTGGATTAATAAGGCCCAAAGGACTACAGGTGCGAAGGAACATCAATCAAAATACTTACGAAGAACACATAGAAGGCCCAATAATAAAAAAAATCGCAACCAAACCCAAATGCATCCATGTGAGATCATTGGGACTTTGTACCATCCTGATCAAATCTAAAAACAAATTAATATGAAATTTAATTTAATTTTTTTTATTAAGTGTGTTTGATAGTGATTTTTATAGTATTTTGTTACTTGTAAATATATTAAAATAATATTTTTTATTTTTTAAAAATTATTTTTAATATTAATACTTCAAAATGATATAAAAATATATAAAAACATTAAAAAAAATATTTTTTTTTAAAATTAAACTTTCACCAACTTTCATTTCAATCGAAACCCTCAATTAACTCTTTACTTAGTAAATCCAGTTGATTTGTTAAAAACTCTATCAAAATTCAGTCTAGTCAAAAAAATTAAAAAAAAATTGCTTAGAATAGTATTTAAAACTTAGATGAGCTTATATTAACTAAAACAATCTTTAAAATAATTAATTTATTAGTTATTATAAAAGGATTGACCTACTATCTGATTAAAATAATTAATTTATTAGTTATTATAAAGGGATTGACCTACTATCTGATAACCCAACCCGTAAATTTAAATTCAATCAGGTTTTAAATTAAACTTGAAAAACAAGTTTTTTATCAACATAATTTTTTAAAAAAATACAATGCTACCAGATACTCTAATTCATTAAGTTTCTAAATCAAGTAGTTGCATTAATTGATTTTGATTATTATTATTATTATTTTATATTTGATAATAAGAAATATTTTGAACCATCTACGTGTAAAAATTAATAAATTATTTATGATTATTGTGTCTTTATAAATTGCGAAAAATAAGAGAAATTTTCGATGCTTGTCGATCAAGAACAAGCATATGATACAAATATTCTGTAAAGCGCACCGTTTGACTATACACGAGACATCTCAGTTTTTTTTTCCATTCTTCGTCGTTGACTTTTCATGCGTTGACCGTTGTTGTATTATATTGGATGTGAAACGGGTCAGGTACATTGCCTGTGCAGTCCAACCATGTTCTTTGAAAAAAAAAAAAGTGAAATAGAATAGTTTGTGTAAGTCGTGATGGGAAGATAGGACATTCAAGTTTATGGTTATATCTTCATATTAAAAAATAAAATAAAATTAAACGTGATGACTAATATTATGGAAAAAATCTTGACTATATAAATTTAAAGTATGGAGAAACGAGATTAATATAAATATACCAATAAGTAAAATTAAGGTATTGTTTGTTTGGGAGGCCAATATGTTTTTTAATTTTTTAATTTTTAATTAATTTTTAGATTGTTTTGATGTTATAATATAAAAAATAAATTTTAAAAAAATAAAAAAATATATTATTTATATTTAAAAAAAACACTTAAAAAAACATCTATTATAATTTCAAAGGCATAAATATCCGAAACTGATGTTTCTATATCTTGATTACGAGTCAGAGCTCCATGTTCATTTTCTTGGCAATGTCTCAGAAGACGTTGCATCATAAAGACTGCTTTCATTTAACAGGGAGGCCGTACAGATTTTCAATTTGCTCATGTTCAAGTCTCTTTCACTTGGGAAATTTCATAAGAGTTTAAGGCGCTCTACTCTGTTATCATATTTCCAGAATCCAGACAGTGATGGGCTAGCATGTATATCATTGGAAATGTCCCCACCTGGTCTTTGTTTTCTTGCCGCCATCCTTCCCTGTGTAGGAAGAGGACATCATATGTGTCTGCAGACAAAACCATTTATCAAGAACACTCAACTTCCCCTCTGAACTCGGTCCTAGTTTTAAGCAGCCAATTTTGATATATCAAAGACACAACAACCATTTTAGAACGAATTGCCTGTCTGCTGTGTTGAGTGTCGTGTGGCTGGTAAGGTTCAGAGCTCGGGGATTGCAGGAAACCTCATGGCCCCAGTTCTTCCATTTAGTGACTCCTTCCAACTCCCCAGATGTTACCTGGCAACTGCAGCAGCAACTTGCAAGGAGCGTGGGCCAGATGGCTGCCCATTTAATGAACTGGGCACCGCCATCGTACCTGATTGGATAAGTTGCGTGTTCCATCCAAACACTCAATCAAAGCCTTGTTGTGGTGATATACTTCCAGAGTAGCCTTCTGGAAAATTTTATTTCGATATTTCTAAGAACATTAAGAAATTTTACCGCGGTGTTTATTCACCGAACTGAGAGAGCAGGCGACATTGGAAACAAAAGCTGTCCTCGAGGGTAATTTAATGGACAAAGATGCAACCAAAACTGCTGTGGGGATTGTGCAATCACAATCTAACCAGTTTATGTTGTTAGCCAAAGAGGAAATGATACAGGATAAACCTTTTTTTTTATTCTACTCATACATTACATATTGCAGAACCGAGATTTTTCAGACATTTTGGCTCGTGATGGTACGAGCCAGGCCACCTTGGCCTGTTTATCGATCAAGTGCAAATTATAAGAGCGGAGGAGAAAGAAAATATTACAATAGCAGAGAAGGTATAAAACTAAAAGCCTAGACCCCAGGCTTAAGAAATGACTCTATGATCTCCTGTGGGGATTGTGAAATGATCTTTGAGACCCCTCAAAGAGATCCAACAAGTAATTCTGTAAATCATCTGCACTGTACTTGATGTGCTTGTCACTAATTTGATTTGTATGTCTTCCGACAAATGTTCGGTAAGCTTGGATCACCTTGAGGGATGTTGAGATTCGTAAATCTTCTCGTAGATGACCATTTGGGATTGACCATGCTGTCTGTGTCCTGTAAACCTCCTCAAAAGCGGTATAAAAATTCCGAAACCTTTCCTTGAGAAGAGTTCTTGAAGAATTGGAATTCCCCTCATCCTTCAGTATAGCGAGGATAGAACTCCAGGTATTTCTTTCATAGTTTATCTCATGCTGCTGGAATTTCCAGTTGTGCTTTCGAATCCACCCATCTCCAAGTATAGACTGAAGATTCGAATTCACAACTTTTTGAGCCATGTAATGAATGTTGTTCATCAAGAATATGTGCTGCAAAGAAGTATCTTTGTATAGCTTGGCCTTGTCATCAAGATTGCATTCTAGAATTGAAGCAACTGATCGGAAGTGGAGAGCCAATGGTGAACCATCGCATGCACCTTCTCTAGCGTTCTCTTCTTCTGTAGATGGATTAATGTCAGGGGACAACGACATGGTATCCTCTCCATCTTGGTCTTTGAGGAGAAAATTGAGAGTTTCCCGGTAGCCAGTGAGAGCATTGAGGTAATTCATAACATACTTGGTGAGGGGATGAATTCCACCTCCTGCAATAGGGTTTGTTGAGGTGCTTGTTGAAATAGCATTTTCAAATTCGAGAAATGCTGCCCTTACAGAGTCCCCCAATCTCCTTAAAACTTCTCGACAGTCAATTCTAACACGAGCACCAGCCTCATCTGCATATAAGGAATCTATGTCTGGAAGAAGATCTGCCAGGACCTCATACATATCAAGTATAGGAAACAGCTTTTCTGGTTTATGGGGACCAATAGATACAGCTTCACCAAAATTTAAAAGCCACATCATTGAAGCCTTTGAAACCTCAGCAAAAGAAACCAAATTAACTGTTCCCAGATCCCCAAAAATCTGTTCAGATAGACATTTCTCACTAGCAAGATAGACCCGCACAAAGATCTTCATAGTCCGAACCCATCTCCTGATCTTGGAATTTAAGCTGCCCCACTCCAATCTCAGCACATCTTCAATGCTCAGTTTCTCGATTTCAAGAATA